CATCGTTGACACATCGTCGTTAACACGTTGTCGTTCACGCGTCGTCGTCGTTGACAGGTCGTCGTTGACAGGTCGTCGTTGACACGTCGTCGTTCACACGTCATCGTTGTTGACACTTTGTCGTTGACAAGTCGTCGTCGTTGGCACGTCGTCGTTGACACGTCGTCGTTCACATGTCATCGTTGTTGACACTTTGTCGTTGACAAGTCGTCGTCGTTGGCACGTCGTCGTTGACACGTCGTCGTTGGCACGTCGTCGTCATTGACACGTCATCGTCGTTGACACATCGTCGTTAACACGTCGTCGTTAACACGTCGTCGTCGTTCACACGTCGTCGTTGTTCACACGTCGTTGACACATCGTCGTTAACACATCGTCGTTAACACGTCGTCCTTCACACATCGTCGTCGTTCACACGTCGTTGACACATCGTCATTAACACATCGTCGTTAACACGTCGTCGTTAACACGTCGTCGTTCACACGTCGTCGTCGTTCACACGTCGTTGTCGTTCACACGTCGTCGTCGTTCACACGTCGTTGACACATCGTCGTTGAAACATTGTCGTTAACACGTCGTCGTTCACGCGTCGTCGTCGTTCACACGTCGTCGTTCACACTTCACACGTCGTCGTCATTCACACGTCGTCGTTCACACGTCATCGTTGTTGACACTTTGTCGTTGACAAGTCGTCATCGTTGACACGTTGTCGTCGTTGACACATCGTCGTTAACACGTCGTCGTCGTTGACACGTCGTCGATGACACGTCGTCGTTGACACTTCGTCGTTGACACGTTGTCGTTGACACGTTGTCGTTGACGCTGACGTCGTGGCATGGACATTGGGACATTCACGTTGACGTTCACGGTCACTTGGCTTGGCGCTCGTGCCCGGTCCTGCTGCTTCCTCTCTGCCGCTGGGAGAGGAGAGACGCACATCGTTGCTGCTGCGAGGTGGTGAAGAGCTAACTCGCCACAGGTGTGAGTTCGCCATTGGACGCCAGCATGACAAGTTGGTGTGTGGATGCCGAGACGATTTTTCGGTGCAGAAGTAAAGACATTGAAACGCTGAGGTGCACGAGGAACACGACGGTGGTCAAGGGAAATCTGACCACAAACTTGAATGCATGAGGTGGAACTAAATCTGGACCACAGACTTCAGATGGTCCAGCTGGGTGAGAAACGTCTGGTGCATAGTAATAAGTATATAGCTTTGTATGTACTAACAACATGCTTAGTTAGTAAAAATTTAGTGCACTACTTTTGTAAATGAATTGTATTTAAATTGTATTTTTAATGTATTTCAAATTTATAAGCAGTATACTTTTAATRTAATAGTATCCTAATTATAGTTTACTTTTGGTGTATTATAATCAGTAAGGAAGTACAATTTTAAGCTACTTATCAATATAAATTTTTACTCAATGCTTCTTCGAACATTATGTTTTACTTCATAAGGTACTGCAAAAGTATTAGGCTACCAGTAAACTGAAGGCTGAATTAAATAATGGACCACTCAACAGTCCCTTATTTAATTAAGCATGCAGTTTACTCGTAGTCTAATACTTTTGCAGTACCTTAGTAAGAAGTATTTAATGTACAAAGTAGCACAGAATAAAAAGGTTATTAGTTCAAAAACACTATGTTTAAAGTGTACAAAGTATACTTGAAGCTCCACTGTAGTACGTAATAGACTTAATACACTTCAAACTGTGATTTTTTAAAACAATTTAATTACAACTAAAATGTATTTAGTATAAAATTAGTTGTTCCAAAATAGCATGCTTTCAGTATACTGATGACTAGTCTGGTTTTAAGTATGCTAAGATTTAGCACTAATTTAAAACCCAACATCTTTATTTCTCACCTGTAAATTTACAGGT